TAATTGGTCCCACGGCATTCTCGGTGTCGCGTAAACGCTTCGTTTACCCGATCGCCCCTTCACTTTTCGCGCGCGTCCTTTCTCCGTGGAACACGCATCGAGAATTTTTGGTCTTAATTTCGGCGCAATGTATTAAAAATGTTGTCACATATGTTGTATAACGTTGCACTTGCTCGTGGCTGTACTGTCGAGTTTCTGGGTATTCAGTAATATGTGTGATCTCGCAGCACTGGATTGTGAACTTGTTCAACCGAAGGTGGAATTTTTGTAACTAAACGCGAACTAGTAACTTCGCGAAAGACTTTAGAGATTCAGAAAGGTATAACGATCCTTGAAAATTGTAATCTTAATGACGAAATGAAACGGTTTTTTTTGTTCGCGTTGAAAATTTCACCGTTTCTGATTCGCGATCGTCCATGAGCCTGTTTTTTGTTAAAACGAGCTAAGTTGATCTAGCCAGTCAAATTCGAGCAATCAAAGACGAGCTGTTTAATTGCTCTGCTGTAAGTCAGAGGTGGCTGACTGGCGGGACTTGCCCCCACTTTCCTGATTGCTAGCGTTACCCCTTCCACTGCGTCGATCTCTCCACTCGGTTGCTAGGGAAATCAACAGACTGAGAGAGGGGGCTCATTCACGGCGAGGAAATTTCAATGTAATGCTCTGCTGTAAGTCATTTAAAAACGATGGAATTGAAGTATCGATAAAACGACTGATGCCAACGGTTTCTAGATAACAAACTCGCGATTGTCTTTACCTACGCGATGAGCCCTGATCTAGTAAACACTGAACCGAAACATTCAAAGGAACGTTCAACGGAAGTATAAATTAAACCGTGTAAATTAAATCTGACCATGAATGTTCAATATTCTTTCTTGAAATCTTCATCGAACTCGATACGTACCGTCCAATTGAAATTCCACTGACGTTGTTTTAAATCCACGAAAGGGCAATCCATTGCCCGTGGTGCCATCACTTCCCCGCCGTTCATTCTTCACAAGCCACATGTGTCCCTCCGCATTTCTCAATCCACAACTTGTCGCCGGCGATCTAAGCGGTTGTTCTCGCCGCTAGCCAACAACGGCTCGCGGCGATGAGACTTATGAAAGGGGCCGAAATTCTCGAAAAGATGGTTATCAGTCCCGGGGCCGTTTCGCAATAAGAGAACGAGCGTTGCCCGTGGAGCGTGTAACCCCCCGACAGTCGTATGTATCTTGGGAGAGCTGGCCGCGGCGCGGCTACGCCGCACCACGTCAGGGACGAGATTTAGAGGCCGCGACGGTGGACAATGCACGACACCTGCAGGCACTTCTCGAAAAAGAAGAAGTCAAAGGAGGAGTGGCGAACGAAGGAGTACGAAAAGAGTACGGGAGAAAGACGAGAAGGTGAGGGAGAAGGACGAAGTAGCGCGAGCCTCGCGAGCTAGGCGAAGAAAGAGGGAGAGAAGAGAGACGAACTCTTTCTCTCTCTCTCTCTCTCTCTCTTTCTCTCTCTGTTCGTCTGAAAGTACGGAGGCAACCAAGCCGGAGCTCGCCTATGTGTAGCGAAGGCACAAGGAGAACGGAAACCTGGTACCGGTAGCGCAGCGGGATAAACTCGGGGAGACGTCTTAAAAGGTCCTTAACATAGGTACCGGGAGGAACGAGCTACATCGTTCCGGTGCGAGAGCACGATGCATGGAAAAACGCTTATTCAACAAAGGGACACAAATCAAACAGCCATGAATCGTGGGACGTTCTCCACATTGTTGCAAAGTGCCGACAACGACGCGCTCCTCCTTGTCAACCATACAACTCTTATATGCTCGCCGGAGCATAATCTCCGAAGCAGCGG